TTTTTTTACTTTCTTTTAAACCTTTATTATCCATAACAGTGGTTTTATTACAGTTTTAATCCAAGTCCAATTATTAATGTTAAATATGTTGCAACTTAAGAAAAAGCTGGTTTTTTTAGTGAGTATGCCTATTTTAGGAGATTCTCACACGAGACTGTGTCTTCTGACATAGTTAGCCTATAAAAGGTTTTTTGAACCACTTAGAGTTATAAGTATGAATCCCTCCTTACATTGTCCAGGAGGCGCATATATTTCTATATAGATTCTTCTCGTTTTTATATAGTCTAATATATATGATTCTAAGAAAAAAAAAAAAATGTGATCTCTCCACGTGATATTTGTCACATGACATTCACGTGCCATGCCTTGCCCGCCCAATTCGTTAAAACTTTTTTCTTCACTTTGCTTCAATTTGGCGTAGTTGATTCAAACTTTCACCGCAAATTTCGTCGATTTTTTTTGCCATTTTGGGATCTCTTGTTCGACCCAGGACTTGGTAATCTGATTTTGAGTTTTCTAATTTTGGTGAAATTACGATATTAATAAACCATATACGACCTTAGCATGTCCGTTTTGACAACTATAGTGTTGATTTTCTTAATAAGAGGTAATTTATTGGTGTTTAGACAAGCTTCGGATAAGGAATAACAGGTTAACTCAAGCTTTTATTTTTAAAAAGATTTGGAATTGCTTTAATCCAGAAGCCAGGAGCGAACCAGTTTTAACACCAGTTATTAGCAATTGTCTATGGTACTATTACTAAGTTAATCAACATTATTGATTGTCAAAATACAATAATGTATGGTTTATTAATATTGTCTGCTAAAATTATAGTCACGATTATCACCATTCTTCCCTCCCCCCCTTCCTGTTATTATACTCGCAATTGAAGCTAATGTCAACAAACCCAATCACATGAAATAAGATTCTTTCCAGTTTTGAATGTTACTGGGGAGAGTATTCTATCAAAATATAATATAAAATTCTCTAACAAACTCCGCAACTCCGCTGGATCTTTTTTTGCTGGTTTCAACAAAATCTTTTTCAAGTTGGGTTCATGAAAATTGAACTTGGGTACATTGACATTTAGTATTGATTCTCTGTTTGCTGCCATTAATACAAGAATGTCAGGAGGAAAACAGTCGCAAGGTTCAGCCCATCCTAACAGATGGTTAATTGCTTATAATTCAATTTCAGCATCATTATGGTCTATTGTATTTTTCAATACTGTATTTTTATCATTAACAGTTGGACAACCTTATTTATTTGAAAAGACAAATAAATCAACTACAATTATTCAAACAGTTGCTATCATTGAGATATTCAATTCACTTTTAGGATTGGTTAAATCACCACTTTTCACTACTTTAACTCAAGTTTTCTCGAGATTAATGATTGTTTGGGGTATTCATCAATTATTACCAAATTCTCCAGCAAATTTTCATTGGTGTTATATTTCCTTATGTTTAAGTTGGTCAATTACTGAAATTATTAGATATTCTTATTATGCTTTGAATTTGAAAGGTAATGTTCCTGGGTGGCTTACTTGGTTACGTTATACTACTTTTTATATTTTATACCCAACTGGTGTATTTTCTGAAGTATACCTGGTTATTTTATCTTTAAATGATGCGTCGAATGATGTTGGTTCTTGGTATAGTTGGGCATTGAGAGCTATTTTGGTTGTCTATATCCCAGGGTTTTATATGCTTTATACTTATATGATAAAGCAAAGAAAGAAGGTATTGGGGAAATCTTCTAAAAAGAAGAGTCAATAAGGAATTACAAAATCTATTAAAATTCTATTTATTTACCTAAGTTTTTAAACTATCAATCCAGGAAATTAATGTTTCCATATATTGATAAATTGTGTCATCATCATTAAATTCAAAGGCTTGCTTTTGATCTTGGTTGTGCTTGGATTTACTAGAACTACCTCCGCCAAGCAATGCCGCCAATGTAAATTTATTATGTTTAGTTATTTGTTTCTTGTGCTGTTCAAATGCAATCTTTAATCTTGTCATTATATAAATCAGATCATATTTTAAAATCAATGTAGATAAAATTTTCATGATAAGATAATTGGGAGTATATTGATTCCATCTAATATTCCAACTAATCAATTTCATAACACATAATAATATGAAATCTAAAGTCAAATATTCTTGTTCTAATGATTTAATTAATGAATCAAACATATCTTTACTAGATACTTTTAAAATCAATTTATTACTCAAAAATTTCCCATCATAATTATCATGATAAGTATCAATACAAGAATCACAAATATCACTCAAAACAAATTCATCGTAAATCTCCAATACTTGAATCGTACCAAAATAATCGAATCCTCCTTCAACATTGGTCCCCACAACACTAGTCACTAGCGAGCTAATTGATTCTCTTAAATTATATTTCACCAACCATCCTAAAAGTCCAATCATCTCCCATTCCAACGCACTACGTTGTTGAGCTTTGTTAGATCCAATAATCATTAAAGTTCTTAAATCTTCGTATATGATGACAAACAATTGATCGAGCCAATTCTCACAAGTTACTAATCTTTCCTTCGAAGATTCATGATTGACCACATATGATGATATTTGAGAGCTGGAATCATCTCTTAATTCGGTAGAAGAAGAATGGAATACGGTTTCCTTGGTAGCAATAATTTGCTCCCATCCAATCAATGCTACTAAAAGTGATAATAAATCATATGTTCTTGCCCAGGTTGATTTTCTTGAAAAATCCAAAAGGGAACAATTGGCAGTTCCAGCAGATTGCGAGGCTAAGATGTTTTTGGCAGAATTTGGTCCACATAATTTGATTAAATTAGTTTCAACTGATGCAATTTCCAAAGCCAGGCCATTAACTAATGGTGATTGAGTAAAATAAGGTCCAACTATCGGATGTCTTAAATGCGGATGGAATAAGAATGAGTCATGCCATAGTTTTTGTATTGAACCAAGTTCTACTTCGGCATGAGGTGGTTTCTTGGACCTAAGATTGGATGGATAGTTTGTTGATGATCTTACTTTTGGATGGGGGAAAAACTCATTGAAAGTGGCTGAAGAGATCTCTTCTTCTATTTCATATGTATTCAATCGGTCTATGAAAATAGACATGTATAAATCCTTAATTCCACCCTCAACTATATCCGCTGACAGGTAACTCTTATTATTATTCATGGAAATTGGGAAGGAATTTATTACTAATAGTGCATTTTCGAAATCCTTCACTAAAATATAACTCAAGGCAAGGTAGTACCAACAATCATAGTCTAATGGTAATATCAAAACACATTTCTTGGCGATATCTAATGCTAGGTCATATCTTTCTTTTGATATAAGGAAACTAACCTGATCCAAAAGTATCAATGCCAGTTGAGTAGTGTATAATCCATGATATCTAATAGACGAATTGATTAATGAAAGATATTCCAATTCTTTATTAGTCCCACGTTGAATCTTCAATAATTTCAAATTGACAAAATCCCAATCCCCATTATCGTTACCAAAATGATATCTCAGTTTTATTTGTTTTATGGCAATTTCGCATACTTCACCACTTATATCTAAAGAACCCAATCTAAGCAATGTATCAATGAGTTTGTTTCTATAATAGTTTGTTTTGTATAATGCATCCTCTTTATTCCCACAGGCAGTAGGTGTACCATACGATGATCTAACACCGGCCAAACTGCCCTTTGGTAATAGTTTTATTAATATGATCATCGAACTTATCAATGCCTCTTTATTATCTATAAAATGAGTGTAATTGACTAATCCAGTCAATTGAGTCTCTGGGTTATCAGTATGATGAAACAATCTAATTAAATGTGATGCTCTCAATTCTTCCCAATACAGCCTAGACAAATCTTGAATTGTATCGCTGTTGAAACTGACTATTTTTCTAGAACGTTGTGATTCGGTGTTGGTGGGTATTATCTGAAATGTACTATCCATTAAAACGAGGGATCTTTTTGAATGAGCATTATGTGCAGCTCCTCCTCCTGGACCGGGACTTATGATGCCCGGAGGTTGAATAACAAACCTTGCTCGAAAATCTGATTTATTAAATATATTATAGGTACAATAAGTAACTATTATCTCTCGTTTAGTAGATCCCAATTTCTCTAATGAAGTTGGTTTAAAATAAAACAAATCTTGTTCTCGTTCAATCCCCAAAATTTCACAAATATATTTCTGAATATCTTGTTCTAATTTCTCAAACCGAATTCCATTGACATAATGATAATAACCAACATATCCGTCATCACTTTCTTTATCGTCATTTTTGTCTGAATCGGGGTATGTGAAATCGGTATGATGATATAATGCCGATCTCGATCCAGCATAAATGGCACGATGAACTAAATCTGGAGGTCCAACACAATTTTCTCCACCAATAGTTTCTTGAAATTTGGTTCTGATTCCTAATGTCTGACCAAAACTTGTTTCTCGTAATCTTGGAGTTGTGGTTGATCCCAAAGGTTTTTCAAATCGAGTATTATTTAAAGGTAAGATAGTAACTGAATTATTATTTGATAACAGAAATGGTAATGCAGAAGACAGTGTCGCTGCAATTGGAAGAGGTGATATCTTCGACTTTTCCATATTCATTGATGGGATGCAAAAACACTATACCAAGGATACTACTACTTGATCTGCTGTTCAATAGACTATGGCTTTGAATAGTTTACTCCCAAAAAGGACAATAAAATAATTTTAAAATCTCGAAAATTTNATCTCGAAAATTTTCAACGCGCTCTCAATTTCATATTTCAGTTGAAAAATATAAGCTACATTACATTATTAATTTGATAGGATTTAATAAAAGAATAATTTCATAATTTATAAATTTATACACAAATAAGTAAAGTTTTAACTTAATAATAATAAAACAACCTCTATATAATTTAATTTATTTAGTTTAGTTTAATTTATCTTTTGAGTTAATTGTTGAAATGACTTTGAAATCTCTTGTAATTCATCCAATACTTTAGAAAGAGGATCAACATTAACCATATCAATAAATCCATCACTACCAGTAGCAAGACTAATCTGTTGTCTTAAAAATAAGGTTGATCCACAACTTTCAATTCTAGTAACAATATGATTCAATAATGCAATCAAATCAACCTCTTTAAATGATGTTTGCATCTTTTGAGAAAGCATACCTGATGAATTCTGTTCAAAATCTTCATTCACAATACTACCTCCATTGATTGTTGAACATATATTTTCTAATCGAAGTGAAACAGTTCTTAATCCATAAATAATTTCTACTGGTAATGTCCCAACAACTCTGGTACTATGTCCCTTATCAATTTCTCGATTTAATCGTTTCTGGAAAATCTCAAACCTTAATTTCAATTTACTTGAATATGCTAAAGTAATTAATTCTGGAGTTTCAAGTCCTTTTAATTTCTTTTCACCCAATTCAAAATAATGTAAACCATGATCTTCAATCAGTCCAATTTCTCGTTCAATAATTTGTCCAGCTCGGTCATTTCCTTGATAAGCATCACTAAATGATATGTCTCCAGTTGAAATCTCACGGTGGATTTCATATAATCCTTTCATTTCATCTAAGAAATCAAGACTAACTGCAATTTGACCTCCATCTGCTACAGCACTAATACGTGAAGCACGATTAACCATAGGACCAAAATAATCCATTCTACCAGTAACAACATCTTGTTCACACACTGGAGATCCCCAATGAATACCCATTCTAACTGATAATCCTCGGAAAATTATATTACCTTCTCCATCTGTAACTTCACAACATTGATCAGTTTCCAAGATTTCTTTTGGCCAATCTGCCGTTAATAAATTCTGTTGTACATTAAAACACCATAATAATGCCGCTGTAGGAGATGGGAATGCAACCATAAATGCATCACCTTCGGTTTTAACTTCATAACCACCAACAATACGCAATTGACGACGCATAATAGTATTATGTGTCTTAATGGCTGATCTCATAGGTGCAGGATATGAATCCCATAATAAGGTCGAATTCTTGATATCAGTAAATACAAGTGCCAATTCACCAACTGGTGGATCAATCTCATCTTCTAATCTCCGCAAGGTCGAATCACCCGTTGTTATTTGACTTCTATCTCTTCTTCTCTTTTGAGCCAAAAAATCAGCTTCACGTCCTAGATTATTATATAATGCATTGTGTTTTTTACGTTCACCAAGTGTAACAACAACTACGGCAATTTTATCACTTGCACCATAACAAATTGCATAATCTCTTAATTTCTGGGCAGCAACCATCGGATCATCCTTCTCTTGACGAATTATATCAACTGCTAATTCAAATGTTACATACTCCCATAAACATTTTGTAGCCATTACTATAACGTCATCAGCTGTAGTTAAGGAAAGCTGAGTCACGTCTGGACCTGAATGAATATGTGGTAAGAAATTGAAAAACCCAGCACCACGAGAAATAACTAAATCACCATCCAATTCCCCATCACCAGATACGTATCCTCCTGAAGCTCTAATTCTCTCAAATTCCTTTCTACTAGTTGGGATATGTTTTGTAGTAAGCAGTACATGATCCCCATTAGTTCGACATAACAATGCTTGAATATCACCAATATTTGCAGTATACAATTGTTTCTCTTTGATATATATAACCGTACAAGCACTACCCGCATTAACATCGTCAACTAAACTCAAATCTATGGCTTCTTTGGACATCTGCAGAGTTGGAGTAAATGATTTATTCTTTTTAGCCGATAAAATACCATTGATTTCCTTATTCAAATTTAAAAATGTCCTTCTCAATGCACTTGGAATTTCATCATCAGACTTAATTTTAAGAAGCTCGTTGGTAAACATACCCACAAATTGATTTTTAATATGCGTTGCAATACGATGACCTTGATTCAATGCCCCATATTTCCCATCAAAAGAACAAATCAAAACCTCATTTTCATTTCCTCTAAACTTCTGAATAAATAAATCACGACAGGATACATGGTCTCTCATTCCCATGCTATCACTTACACCATAACCAATATTTTCCATTTCTGAAGTAGTGGTTCTAATTCTGATATCAATCGATTGATCAGGAACAGCAGTTGTAGTTAAGGTAACATCAATCAATCCAAGTACTTTTAATTTCTTTAACACTAACAAATTATCAAAATCTTCTCCAGTTTCTGGATTCTTAATATGACTAGGTTTGATTTCAAACCGTTTATTTCCGGAAAAATTCAAATATTTCAAATTCTTATTCCAAGCCCAATTCCAATCATATGGCCAATTGGAAATATTGTACTTTAATTGATTTGAACCGACATCAAAGCATTGTAAATTGACCAACTTACTAAGTTCCGCAGGTAATGTAACTAACTTGTTGTTGTTGACATATAATAATTTCAAAGATTTTATTTCTTGTAAATCTTCTGCTGGTAATGTTGACAATTCATTTCCTGATAAATATAACTCATTTAATCTAAATAATCTTCGAAGTGCACCTTCTGGGATTTCCAATAAATCATTATATGAAAGATTGAGTGATTTCAAACTTGACAAATATGAAATGGATTCAAAACAATCACCGCCCAATCTATTGTCTGCCAAAGTCAACATTAACAAACTATCTGCAAGATTGGAAAAGGTATCTTTATTAGTGTTCTTCCCATTGGTATTTGGAGATGGAGATCCTCTATTATTATTTGCTGTGCCTGCATTTTCAAGTTGCATTGTAGCCAAATTAGCACTTGATGAAATTCTTTTAGCTACCGCAAATGGTGGTGCTGGAAATGAACTTAAAATATTTGAAGCAAGATTTAAAACACTCAATGATTTCATATTCCAAATATCATCAGGCAATCCTTGTAAATTATTCAGATGCAAATCAAGATATTGTAATGAATGTAAATTTCCAATAGTAGAAGGTAATGATTGTAATTGATTATTATAAATCGAAAAGAAAGCTAATTTAGATAAATCTCCTAAATTTTGAGGTAATGTAACCAAGTGATTCTTATCCAAAACAAGTTTTTCAATATTGGGGATCTTATCAATAAAAGTGGTTGGGATATCAGTTATTTTTGCTTTTGATAAATCTAAAATATTCAAGGTATCCATTCTATGTTGAAAATTCAATTCAGTGATTGGATTTCTATCAAAATGAATGACCCTAAAGCTTTCAACTTGATCATTAAATCCAGATATAACATTCTTCGTGGCATAAGCAACCTCCAATTTTGGTAAAAGTCCTAATACATCAACATTTGTTATTTCATTATACCTTATATCTAATCTCTTTAAATTCTGAAGTTTGCAGAAATAACTTGGTAATGATTTTCTTAATTTGTTAGAACATAAATTTAATTTTTGTAAATTAACTAATTTCCCAATGGATCTTGGTAAGAATGACAAATCATTATAGGATAAATCTAAATCTATTAAACCTGTCAATTCACTGATTGGTTCAGGATAAGTATGCAAATAATTTGAAGCTAATTTCAATGATACTAAATTCTTCAATTTTCCAAATGATTTAGGCAATGTTGATAATTGATTAGAACTCAATTTCAAATGAGTTAAATTACTTAAAGTACTAAATTTGGTTGGTAATTCATCCAAAAAGTTCTTCTCCATATTTAAATGAGTTAATCGTTTAGCTTCCAAAAAATTCATGGGGAATTTCGAGCATCCATTTCTGGAAAAATCAATACTAATCAAATTGTTACATGATTGAATAAAATCTAATGGAATATAAATCGCTGGATTATCTGCAACATTCAATTTTTCAATTTCATAAGTATGTTGATGGAAAATAATGGGGATATTCTTCAAATTTAATCCAGATATGTTAACATCAACATAATTCTTTGAAAGTGAGGCTTCTTCATCATGAGTCAAACTTCGAAGGTAAATATTCTCAACAACAAATTTACATACAAATGACAAATCTTCTCTTCCAATGGTTCTTAAATTGTCCTCTTCAGTATATCCACTTAATAATAACAATCCCATTTGGATCTTTAAAGGTTTTTCAAATGGTTCTAAGACTTTAACACAACTACCCACATATACAGAAATTTGATAATTTGCAGTAGAATCCAAGAAAAATTTCCTTTGTACAATACTTAATAATTCAGTTGTTGTAGTTTCCAATGGACATAAAACAGTTGTAAACGTATTATCTTCTTTAAATACTCGTACAATATGACTTGGTCCCTTGGTTAAATTCTTATCCACTTCAGTATTTACAATATTTCCTAAATGCCTTGCACCATAAAGCACCGGCAAGTACCTCCTTGTTTCTTGTTCGTCTTCTTGTTCCTCATTCTGTTTTAGACTACTTGATAATGAAGATGATTCATCAATCTCCCCTTCTTGTTCATCGTCTTCATCCTTGGCTTCAGGCAATGGCGACGGAGTAATATTTTTTTCCACCTTGACATCCCAACTATCTGGCGCTTGCCAAGTTGGGGCATTTGCATCGACGCTTCCAGTCCCAGTTGATGTGACTGATTTCTTTTTGGAGCTACTTGGTAATACTGACGAAATATCTCCCAAACTATTTCTGATCTTGCTAGTATCCTGGGGTGACTTTATAATCCCATGCATTTCATCAAGATTTAAATCAATTTGTGTAGGTAGAATGGTTGAACCACTATTAACGGTTGAAGCTTCTTCTAATGAATGTGCTGACCTTGGTCTTGGTTGCTCTTCTACTGTTGACATGCTCTCTTTAGTGGAAGACGTTGGGCTTGGAAATGACATTTGTAACAGCTGGGCCAGAACTGTGGAAGGATGACCTGGATGATGATAATGATGATCTAAGGTAATTGAAGGAATTCTAAACTTATGTTTGGAACCAGTTGATGAACTTGAGGATGCACTTTTCCTTTGCAGTGGAGAAGATATGGCACCAGCAAGGGATTGCATTTGAGGTGTATCTGTGGATGCAATTGAAGTTGCTCTTGTACTTGCAGGGGAACTTGTACTCAGCTTGTGACTCTTTGAATCATCCTGATTGTGATGAAGAAAATAATGATGCAGGGATTGTTGTTGTTGTTGTTGTTGATCTTCTGGGACTGAAGATTCCGATTCTTTTCTACTACTGGAATAGATTAATTTATTAAATAACGAACCACTCTTTTTCTTGAATCGGGGTTTAATTGGATGAGCCAAAGGAGGTACATTAGCAATCCCTTTTGGCCGTTTATTGGCATGGAAACCACGATAATTTTCTCTCAAGTTATTTGCATTTGATGGGTTTAATTGTGGTAATGAAATCACAGAAGATTTTGGTGAGTAGTTGTTATCTTCTCTAATATAATGATCATGATCAACCTCAATATGATCGTGCTCGTACTGGTGGATCTCTCCCGATAGTTTTGAATGTTGTTGTTGTTGCTGCTGATTATTATTATTATGTTGTTGTCGTGATTCTTGGTAACTGCTATTACTATTTGTCTCTGACGAGTTTAAAGTATAGTTTAACAATTGATCTTGAGAAGATACTGGAGATAATGGTACCGTAGAACTAGGATTAGAAGTATCAGTTTCCGTTATTTGGGATGCTAATTTGGAAGGATGTTCTGGATTATGCAATTGTTGTTGTTGTTGAGATGGTAGAGCATTGGTCGCTTTTGGATCATAAAAGACTGAATTATCTGTACCTAGATTAGTTGGGGATAATGGTGCTGAATTTGGTTCATCAAATGTGTCATGGAAACCACCACCACTCTCATGGGAAGTCCGACCTGCAGATGATGATGAATTTGATGTTGTTGAGTGGTTGTGATGACTACTTAAAGATAACTTTAAGTTTGTTTTTGATTTATCTCTCTTTAAGAAACTCATAATATTATGAATTGAAGTTGTAGTTTATTGATGAACTTTGGTTGCTGAATTGAATTTGAAAAAAAAAAAATACAATTAAATATATTACACACACAACACAACACAACACACACAGTTACTTTCTTACTTACAGCGATCAAATAATACAAACTTGGGAAGTAGTAGTAGTAGTAGTAGTAACTAACAATTAGGTGAGTAAATGTTAAAATTAAAAGTGTAATAAAAAAGAACGATGATTAATTACTTTATTATTTAAACTTGTAAAATTATTAACTTGTATAATTGAAAATGAAAAAAGTAGTGTAAAATAAAAAACTTTCATTCAGCAACAAAAAAATCTTTTTTTTTTTTTATTTTATTTTTTTTATTTTGGTTGGTCCCTCTTTGTTTCATAGTCAATTAACCTATTGTTTAGTTACACAATTATAATGTTTGTAATAATTATTAGTAATAGTTAAAGGATGGCGTATGGTTTGAATAATAGCAACCTGTGGTTGAAAAGAATTAGGTGTTATCATGATAAATTTAATTTTATCTCAAAACTTTAGCAAATTATGTTTCTCCCCCCCCACATAAAACGTGCAGTGCGGCTACCAGTTGTACGTTGCATTTTCTTTCTTACTTCTTATGACTTTATTAAAACTTAAACCATAAACTAGTTATCTGCTATCTATATTGAATTCTTATTCTTTTCATAGATCAAGTAACAATCCTAATGTAGCTTCTGTGATACTATCTATTTTGCCAAATATAATTATATGATTCTTTCATTATCATGATTTTCTACCAGATTTCGCATAAGTTTTCACTTAAAGTATATTTATAATTTAATCAGAAATGCGGGAAAGTGGTATGAAATTTCTCTTACCATCAATAACACTTCAAGTCAGTAGAACGGTATCTGGTTAATTTACTAGGTTACGTCATTTTTTGCACACATTTAGAGAAAATTACACCTTAAATCAAACTGTACTACGATATACCTAGTCATTTGATTTGCCTAAACACCAATAAATTACCTATTATTAGGAAATTTATCATTATAGTCGTCAAAATTTTTGGATGATTTCATTCATATTATCTCGTACTAAACATTTTAAATGTTCAGGTAAAGGTGCTGAACCTGAAGAAGTTGATTTAACACTTGATGGAATGATTTTTTCAATCGCCTTCATGAGATCTTTGACTATAACTTTGACTTTTTTAGGATCATTTTGTAGAATAATTTTGAGGATATTTCCCTTGAATACTATACAATTCTGCTTCTGTACATAATGCCCTCAAATCAATCCCACCATACCCTTTTGTCAATTCAGAAAGTTTGTCAATCTTAAGAATCTCTTTACAAGCACTAATATCAGGCAAGGGGAAATAAAATTCTCGATCAAATCTTCCAGATCATCTTAATGCCGGATCAATTGAATCTGGTCGATTAGTAGCCCCAAAGACAATCACTTATCCTCATTATCCATCCCAACCATAAGTTCCAACAATGTCGAAACAATACTTGCATGTATTTGTTCTTGTTTTGAAGATTTAACTGGTGCTTACTTGGTCAACCAACGTTGACCATCAGAGTTGGACGTGTCAGAATGAAAGACATACCTTCATTACATTGACAGAACTACTGAGTTATCCTGAGAAGCAATAGTCGAAGAAAGGATCGAAGAGTATTTTTTTTACTTAAGTGAAGCAATGAAAGAGATCAGCTTTGGGCTATGTGAAGCCAGCAGTGTCCAATGGCCAATTACCAAACCTATGGGTGAGTTCATTATCAAGCACGATTTCCGGATCATTGCTACTTATGACGACCTTACAGAAGGAAACAGCAGAGTTGCACTGTAATAAACTCATTCATAGGTTTGGAAATTGGAGATTAACATTACAAAGCACGTGACACTTTAATGAACTATTTTTAGTAGTGCAACTTTGATACTGGATTTGCATCTATCATCTCCATTGTATCACATTTTTCACCGATTGACCGATGAAGCATGGTTTGGGTGCAAATTTTCAAGCGTTTTCCTGCCAAATAGGACCTAAACATTCAAAAAACTCAAACCATTTGTCATTCAAAAGTGAGCATAGGAGAAAGCATGGAATGTCAAGTTTGAGATGTATTGTTCCTTGTTGTCAGTTGTCATGTGAATTTTCCTAAACTATTTAATAATGTCATGATCAATAACACAATCTCTAAACATTAATTCTTTCGTTAAAATACACTTATCTGGTTCTGGATTTTAAATCACAACAACTGTCTGACTGAATGAGCGAATGAAATGGATCAGACAGAACTAGTCAAAGAGAAGGAATAGGTAAATGAGTAAACGACATGGATACCCGAATGGTGTAGTATGGAGCATGCGATGCAGGTGGTGAAATGCATGATGACGAATTTATTGAGCTTTAATCATATTCGTATGCTTTCATTTCGTAAACATCTATGTGTAAACTTCCATTTAACTTCTGCTTGTAAGCTTCATTTTGTACACACGCCAACCACAAATAATTATGGATAAAACCAATGAATCTAGTCTCCCTTGTCTAGTTCTAGTAGTAAGGTTGGAATTAGGGGAAAATTAGATTTTCCAATCCCAAATAAGTAGAACCACAACTAAAATCCCAATTGGATAGTAATCAATTGTAGAAAGTATATTTGGAATACAGCCCATAGTACATTTACATTCTTAAAATGAAGATACTGAACAATA